ACAGTTGGCTTTCTGGGCTTTTTTTCCAAAGCACTAAAAAAGAAGGAACCCTCTCCCCTCAACTTTTTAGTATTAATTAACCTTGCTTATTCTTGGATGAGACCTCAACAAAACAAACTCAAACCGGCTAGCACAAACATCTAATACTTGGACTGGGACATTGTTTTAAAGGTAGAATTTTGAAGAGTATGTACACGTTCAAGTAACATAGGAGTTGACACGTCTTGCAATCAAAAGAAGTCTCCAGAAAACCAATCTTCAAATTATAAAATGAGTCAGTATTTAGGCCTGGCTTCTTTTATATTACTAGTTTGTGAACACTACCTTCTACGCTCAAATAAGGGGAAGTGAAATTGTATCTGAAGTAGACATTTCCTTTGTTTCTACCTCAGAAATAAACAAGTGACAGCTTATGGGCATGCTTAATGTACTTGTCTGCAGTAATGTACTAAATTCAGTATTCCTTCTTTAAATTTTCTGCTGTTTGAAAGACTTCAATTGAAACTTCCAGCTCCCCATGAAAGATAAATTACTAAATTTGCTTTTCTTATAGATAAGTCCAATAACTAATGCCACGTAAAATTTTATGGGTCTTTATATAAGGGAACCTTATCAAACACGGGACTTGCAATTCATGTGTAGAACGTTCTGTTTATGAGTGTATTTTAGATGATCCATAAGCCTCTACTTGCTTTGCTTTAATGTGGTTACATTGTTACATAAATACTTTTAGATCAAGAGATCATACAGCTGTTCATCAGTTATTTCCACTTTAAAGACAGAAAAGTATATTATACAATGATTTTTCAGACGAAGGATACAGGATCTGTCACAGTTTCATGCTCTATCTCATACAGTACATTAAGCAAAATGGGACAGAAGGGCAGGTAAAAGACTAGACTTCACTAAAGACTAAATATATTAAAAAAAAAAAATCAATTTAGCTGCCCTTACCTTAAATTCATTCTTCTCCTGCAGATCTGAAGTATATAGCCTTAACTTCCTATCAGAAGCCGCAGTACAAAACCTACACTCAACAGACAAAGAAAACCCCTTCGGTCAATTAATACTGCAATAATAGACTTTTAATCAGTTTCCCTTCAGTTTCCTTTGGCAACAAATAAGAGTTATAATTGCAACTTATCTATAAAAAATGTGTACAAAATGCCAGGAATACTTAAAACTTTCTACAATGTTAAAGACGTAAAACATTCTACAAAGCTAAATCTGAACCAACTATCAATTACCTGAAATATTTCTCATGACTCCCATTGAAGCTTCCCTTGGAAGATGTTAAGTGGCAGAGCACAAAAAGTACCCTCATTATCAGTGTTTTAAAATAGCAAAACATAAATTCATAAGCCCATTTCTAACATTTTAAACAAAAGACTGTATGAAAACCTAGCAGTAATAAACCATCAATTTTGCAGAGGCTTACAAGCTATTGAGAACATTTTAAGTGCATATTTAATAGTCAACTACCTTTCTAGATTTTCACCTCAATGGGTCTCACAATAGCATCTGACCCATTCCTAAACACAGCCCTTATTATGCAGACCATTACAAACACCTTTGTAAAGCAGGCCATTACAACAGTCTCATGCTTAGAATTCCTTCTTGACAGATGTACATAGAAAGAGCTACCTACATTTTAGATCCATTAAAATTACAAAGGAAGAAATTACTGCTAGCTTACTGGGGAGAGGGGCAAGGAACACAAGACTACCACCCTCCCACCCCCTCCATTAGTCAGAATTAAAATGTTGTTCTGATGAAGTAAGCATTCAGAGACTTCATCAGTGATTTCTATGGAGTTAGATTTCACCCATAAGCTCTAAACACACTCCAATACTAAGGAATTAGGGAAAACAGATTAGAGACCTGGATTCATTGTACTCATTTATTATAAATACCTTATCCGGGGAGGTAAAGCATCAAGTCTGGTTTCTGGACTCCATGCTATGGCATCAACTCGGATTCCATGATGAAACGTTCTTAGCGTTTTATATTGCATACCTTCCACTTCTGCATCCTCCTCCTATAGAAATACTGTAATTAGCTAATCTGGAACAATACCTTGATGACTTCTAAAAATTCTGATTAATATGGAATTAAAACACTTTAAAAAGTACATGTATCTGGGATCATTTTAGATTGCAACACTATCAAAGTGAAAACCTGGAACACAAAGTATTAACTTACGTAAGTCCTAAGCAATACATGAAATGATTGCAGTCTCAAGCCACAGGCCAACACAGAACAGAAAAATCAGAACTGAGCTATAAAGATGCTGAGCATACTTTTTGTGGAAGTAGTATCTTCACAGATGCAACTAATGCCACCTATAACAGCATGGTAAGAACTTTGAAATACTCAGTGACTCTACATGTGGAAAGGAAGGGAGGATATGAAAACTACAGCAAAATGATCTTGTACCACTGGCTATCAAAATGTTAGTTTCTTTTCAAGGCCTACACCAGAAACAAGACAGAAGGCAATATCAGATGACAACAGGTTTTTGTGTTTAGCACTAAATGTTTTTCAGAAAATTTCCAACAGTAAGACTTTGGGGAATAATAATAAGAGCAGTTATACTGTTATTCATATTAGAAGTAGAAAACCAGTACTGTATAATTGAACAGTGAGTTGAAGAAAAAAAAACTTAAAAAATCCTAAACAGCATATACAGTGCACAGCATTTTACATTTTAAAATCTTTCAAATACGATTACTCTAAGTAACTAAAAGGTCACAAAACGTATTTGACTGTTTCTGACACTCGGTGAGGGAGATCCAATGAAAATCATTCAGAAATGAAAAAATGTATTTCTAGAGTCCTTTAAAAGCAGCATCTACCAAATTAACAGACACTAGTTGTAAAGGTGAAAGTAGTTGCAATATTCACTATTTCACAGGCTAGCTGAAAGCTTTAGAAGATAATTTAAATAGCAAATGCACATATAAGAAAATATAACTCTGCAAAGGAGCCAATTACCCTGTGATAATAAAGAAAATACCTATAGCAAATATTAAGTCAGTTATTTCCAAAGGTGCATGCTTAAGTTTTCAGACAGCAGTCACCGATATGGGGCTTGGAGCAACCTGGTCTAGTGGAAGGTGGAACCAGATGGTCTTTAGGGCCCAACATCCCTTCCAAACCAACCCATTCTATTCAAAAGCAACTTTATACCAGCAGTATGGTAATTTACACCAGTGGGTATTTTATATATATATACTTATTTTTTTTTTCAAGAACAAATATCCCAGACTTGTAATAAACAAGTAAAACCCTGCCCTGATTACGTATGAAATGGAGGAAATAGGAAACTGACCAGTGCTTTTGTGCAGTAAGAAGTGCTGGCAAAATAAGTTTCAGGAAGCAACTAAGAAAACCAACAATAACACAAACTAACCTGAAATTTGCAAGTCCCAACAACTACATAATTATTGCCACCATATGCAATGAGGGAACATGCATCTCCACTCTCAAATGGACTGAATTTTACCACATGCACATAATCTTCACAATCCACAGTGTAAGCACTGTTTCTAGTAGAATCTTGCTTCATTTTCAGTGGACTAAGTCAAGGTATCATGGAACTGATGGCTTGTCCAGGATGAAAATCCACATTCCTACAAAGTTTTTAAAAGGATGCATTACTTATTTACATAAAGAAAACTTTAAGAAGTATTTGTGGCACAACAGATCAAAATATCCTGCTTAGGAAATCATATTTATAAACACTAAGTCTGCACTTAAGCTCATTATTTTTAGATGTAGCATGTAGTTTCATCAATCCAAAGATTAGCTATAGTAACATATATTCAAAACTGTCTCTATAGACTTTAGCAATAACTGAAGATTTTGTGCTACTGTTGGCAACCCAACACCAAGCCAAGAAATAACTGTGCATACCAGAAAAATCACATACAGAATTTTTAAAGTTTCAACCAAATGACAAGTGATAAATTACTACCTTCAAATTCTCTTTACTCTTGTTACCTCTTTAAAGACTCTAGTTGAAAGCAGAGTAAATCAAGGCTGCACAATTATAAATGAGAATAGTAATATATAATATTTAAACATGGCTTCATGACTTCAGCCACCCCAACTACTGACAGCGCACCTATACCTCTGGGTACCAAAGAACTTGTACTCTATTTAACCAGCTTTCAAAGATAATCAGGTTCCTACACTAGAACACAAAAGCCCGTGATACACAACTGATTTCAGAATCACTCCTTTTAGTCCCAGTACAGATTTGACACTAGCTTAAGCTTTTTGGGGAGATTCAACCTTTAATTACACACCACGTGGAAAAAAAAAGAGCTTTAAATCTCAAGACCTTTGACAGATTTTGCTGTGTTTAACAATCTGAAACTCTGAACATCCAAGACTTCATATTTTTCTTGTGAGCTACCCAGGTCTTATACAGGCGTCACCAAGATGCAGAGACACTCCATAGCTGCAGTGTTTATTTTTAAACTAACGTGATAGACCACGGCATTAACATAAATACAAATTCAAATTTCAACCCTATCCTTTAACGCTTTCCATCAACACAGGCCACCAGGCTAACTTTAAGTGAAAATACCAAGAATGCTACTAGCTTCAACTATTTAGGAAACGAAATTCAGGCAACTGAGCCGTGTGGGTGCCCCAGCCCCTTCCTCCTTTAACCTCCCAATCCCTCCTTCTCCTTCAGGGCTCAGTTCCCACTCCCAAGCGAGGCCGCCAGACACCGTGCCAGTCCCCAGGCATGGCCGAGGGCGCGGACACTTCCGCACAGCGGCTGGGCCGGGCCAGCCCAGCTTCTAAATACAAGCAGCCGAAGCTCCGAGTTCCCCCTCACCCCGGGACGGACGAGACCTCGCTACCCCACCTCACACGCACCTCTGCGGCCCCAAGCTAAACACTGGCGGCGACGCTACCGATCCCGCCTCTCCAGCCAACGACCGGCAGCACCTCCCACCCCATGCGCATCAACACTGTGCTTCCGGGTCAACGGCTCCCAAACTCTAATTGGGCAGCTGGGGAGGGTTTAAATTTAAACCGCCAGGAGAGCGGCTCTGCTCTCTAGACGCGCAGGTAGCAGCGGCAGTAAAGCAGGAGTGTGTTGGTCGGTATTGCGGGACTCTCGTAAGGGCTGTGTTCGTTATCTTCCTTCTCCTGGAGGGAGGGGTTGTGCTCCTGCTTCCCGTGGTACTTTCAGTGGGGTGAGCCGTGCAAGGCGAGACTGTGGTGAGGGAGGCACCCTGAGGCGGCCCCAGCCGGAGGAGAGGGACGGCGGTGGGGGTAATGGTGATGTTGGCTCCTCATGTTTAGGGTTTACGGGCTTGTTTCGTAGGGGTTTTGTCTTATTCGTGCTGTTTTTCTGTGAGTGACAGGTCGTGTTGTGTGGAAATCTCAGAGTAGAGGCAGAGGGCGAAACGCCTCAGGAGAGATTTTTACATTTCTGCCCATCTGTTTCATCCCCTTTGGCCTGCATGTTTCATTCATGTCAATGTAGAATACTAAAGTAGATTGTGCCCTTCAAACATTTTGGAGAATAATTGCAGGTGCTGTTATGATCTTGCTTCATGTCTCCTGTTGTTCCTGCCTCTGTCACTTCATCATTTTTCTGGTTATACCAATCACCAAAATACCCTGGCTGTCGACTGTGCCTTAGCAAGGTGAAACGAGGAAAGGCAGGTTTTGTGTTCTGAAAGTAAAAGGTGTAGGTATTGTTCCTCTACTGTCGCTGCAGTGTTTGGGAACTGTGTTTCAGGAAAGAACAAGTTTTAGAACTTTGCTTTCTTTAATAAGCCTTGTGTGCGTGTGTCTTGACAAATGATAGGAAGTGAAAAAGACTAAAGCATGAAGAAGTCAAATTCAGAACTAATACGGAAACTCATTGCTAAAGGAAATGTCGGTGATAATGACTTACGGAATGAGAAAATAAAATAGACTATATAGGCAACAAAAGCATTTAGAAATGTCATTGTTAGTGGCTCTTAAAAATATTAAATGTCCTGCTTCTAGTTTTAAAGCTTACTGATAGATGCTACTTTTGATATATAGTGAATAGGGAAAGTACAGCAGACATTTTACGGCATTCAGACTGGCTGCTTTCAGAGACAAGCTGCCATATTTGTGATAGTGTTTATTCGTTTATATTGGCATGATATTACAAGGAAAGTAAGGAGTCTTCATGAAGAAATGTCACAGATAAGTACTTTTAACCTCTTTTCGTCATAGCTGCCCTGGCATAGTGGCGCTAGTCCCATTAGTCTTCTGGCGTGGTGGGTAGATTTTGTCCTGAGACTTTGATCTGCAAAAAGATGAAACAGGATTTGCACAGCTTATTGAAAGGTGAAGATACACACAGGCCTCTTGCATAGTTATATTTGGTTTTACTTCTCTTAATTATTTCTATCTTCTACTCTAGGCAATGATTACTTTCCAGCAAAAAATTTTAAACTTGATCAAGTGTTTCAGAAGACAATGGCATTTATTTTCAAACTCTGAAAGGACTACTGTATGTGGAGCAGACTGCATGATAATGGCACTACAACTGTCAATGGCTGAAGTCAATAAGCAGGTTAGTGTTCTTTCAGTATCTTCTTGGTACTTAGTACATCTTGAGCTTGGTTCACTTACTGGACTTTTTGCTTAGGTGCCTACTTGAAATGGCCATTTTGGTCACTTTGCTGTTGTTTTAACTAAGGGTTACATGGAGGAAGGCACTAAAAACTAAAATATAGTTATAGTTCACTGTTGAATCAGGGCTTACAAAAAGAGCTGCAACACAGATGTGAGGATGGAAGTGTTTTAAGTGTACATTTAAGTCGTAAATTTTAATGTTAAATATTAGCATGTCAAATGTTTCTTCTGTGCTGTAGATCAGGGTGGGATAACTGGGGCATTTGGAATGCATCTTTTCACTGAGTATTCTGAAAATGCTTGGGAGTTACATGAGAAGAATATAAAACTGATTTGGTATAAGCTACATGAGCTGTACTTACAGCAGTCCATTTTTGGCTGATGTTTTCCTGAGGCTCATCAGATTAAGACCTATCATGTAAATTGTGGGTGTGCACCCACTACAGGTAGGAAATGTATGCCCTTCATTGCATGTGTACAAGAATAGTTTGTCAAATGATAAGTAAGAGATGTGACTCTTAATTGCTTATTTAATAGGCACTGTGGCTGTCACAGCTGGTTGGCTGAGCATTAGCAATGACCTGGAACATACCAAAACCATATTTCAACTGTATCTGTTGCAATATATAGTCAGGTCTTTGCGTGTCTCTCATTGAATAAGAACAATTCCAATAGTCATTTGGATAATCTAAAGGTATCTTTCTTTTTTTACTTTTTTTTTTTAAGTCAGTAAGCCTGATTGATGAAAACAAATGGCTGTTGTTGGAAGACTTACCCAAATGTTGCATAGTAAATTAAACACATAGTATAAAGCTTCAGTTAAAAAAGCCCAAAATGCAAATAAACCAAAACCAAACACCCATAAGCAACAACAAAAACCAAATAAACAGAAAACCTGTTTCCATTCCTACTCTCCCAGTCACAATGTGTTATTAAAATATTGCCATTTGTACTGGAAGAAGCTTATTTATTTGTTGTGGTTTAAGCCCAGCCTGTCACTCAGAAACCACGCAGCTGTTTGCTCATTTCCCCCCCTTCCTCCCCCGGCTCCCGGAGGGATGGGGAGGAGAATCAAAAGAATGTAACTCCCATGGGTTGAGATAAGAACAGTCCAGTAACTAAGGTATAACACAAATCACTACTGCTACCATCAATAATAATAATGGTAAGGGAAATAACAAGGGAAGAGAATACAACCGCTCACCACTTGCCTACTGATAGCCAACCCGAGCAGTGATCTAGCCCTCCCAGGTAACTGCGCCCAGTTTATATAGTGGGCATGATATGCTGTGGTATGGAATAACTCTTTGGTTAGTTTGAGTCAGGTGTTCTGTCTCTGCTTTTTCCTGGCTTCCCCTCCTTCCTGGCAGAGCGCGAGACTCAGTCCTTGGTTGAACTAAACATTGCTAAGCAGTGACTAAAAACGTTGGTGTTATCAGTGCTGTTCCCAGGCAGAAAGTCGTAAATATAGCACTGCACCAGCTACTAAGAAGGAGAAAAAAAATGACTGCTGCTGCAGTCATAGCATACAAGTCATAGTACTGAATTATCATAACCTATGCACAAATTAGAAAGCAAAAAGTACTCTGAAAGTAACATGTGTGGGCACTGTTTCAGTTTCATATTCACTCCTAGTTCTTAGTCCAGGCAATATCAAAATAATTGATATTTTGATATTGGAATCATATATTCTAACCAGGTCTACTGGGAAAGTTGTGCTATGTATGCTACAACCTGAAGGAGGGATCTCTTGGGCTGGAACAACTCAATTGTTAGAACTGCTCCTGATCTGTTTTTGTATTTAGTTTTGTATTCAGTTGCTGATGGTGTTTGTAGGTAATTTTATCGAGATTAAAGTTGTTTAATGTGAAAATGTAGTGAAATAAACCCTTTAAACTAGACAGGAGTTATCTGCCCTTACTGACATAGAAAAGCAAGGCCTGCTTACTCAGTTGCAGGGCATTTATATCATGTTACATAATGAACTGCATGACTGTAAAAGATGGGGGGGGGGTTGCTGCCATGTTACTGCGGAAAGCTTTAGATACTGGTAGTATCAACTCTGTTTCTTTGGTGAAAACTGGAAAACTCGCTACAATTGCAAAATTACTTGTTGCATGTATTCTGATGTCTAACTCAGAAGGACCTCAGCTGAAAAAGTTTAACAGCTTGAAGTGGGGACTAGATACTGATCAAAGAGCAGGGTGTGGACAAAAATGAGAAGCCTAGTTGTTAAAGAGGAAGTCGCATCTTTCACATGAAAGAGGAAGTGATGAGGGGAAGTTGGATTGGGAGGATGCAGAGTAAAGTAATATGGAGAGGTCTGCAATAAACATGGCTATGAGAAAACACACTGTGATGGACACTGGCTAAGAATGTCCGAAAATTTGGGAGCAAGGTGAAAATAGGCAGAGAACATGATAAGGTATGGGTGTGTAGGGAGATCAGCAACTTCTAGCTGGAATTTTGGAAAGCCAGAGAACAGTACAGAAGTCCAGGGTCAGTGGTCAAGAGATGATGAAAAACAGGTTAACAATTAGTGAATAAAGAACCAAATTGTGAATTAGAGGCTAGAAATATGTATGTGAATCTGCAACTCAAACCCTGTGTTTTGTCTGTTACCATTAGTTCAGCCTAATTAGTAGCAGAATTCTCTATATTTTCATTTCTATAAGTAGCATTTTAATGCAATTCCTTACTTGTATGCATAGCTTGGTTTACAGGGATTGAAACTGATTTTCTGGCTTTCTCTGTGTTGAGGTCTTTAACCATTGTCAATACATTCATTTCCTTTATTGGCAACCACAAGAAACAGGCTCAGATTTCTTGTAGTTCCTTATACCCCCACACTGAACTGGAAGCTGAACTGGAAAACTTACTTAAAATGTCTGATGCTCAGTGAGCTAATCCACCCCCTGCTACCCCAGCTGTGAATTGCTTGGTTTAAAAAGCAATATTTTACTGAATATAAAAAAGACAATGTGAAGGATTAAACAAGTAGGGTTATGTATTGTACTTAATTTTTTATTTCTTAGAGTGCAGCAATAACTGCTTTCTCCTGTAGCTTCTTATTGACACAACTGGATAGTACCTACCTTGTGATCCTACTTCCTTCAGTAGCACATCACTTGGTTTGTAACTCAAATAATAAGGCTTTGTCAGTTATATGGCTTGTTTTTGAATTTCTGCAGATTTCAGCTCAGCTCTCTGTTCCTATCTGCTGTTACACTTTCACCTTTTTGCCTGTCATTTGTGCCCTGCTGCTTGCATGTATGACCGACTATACTAGGTTTGCTGTTTTGTTTCTTTAGTTAATTCTGCTTCATAAATGAAATTACATGCAACATTATGGATTACATAGAGTATCTGTCATTTTTAGTTTCCCATGTAGAGATAACCTTTAAAGAAAAGTTTATTTTTTTTTTCTTTTAGTTTAGAACTGCACAACAAAACTACAGGCTTACTGTTTTACGATTAATTGTTTACATTTATAAGTGCGTAAGCATGATGACTTAATACACCCCTACATATGAATTTAGTAATAGCAGATGCCCCCATATTGATGTAAGTCCTTTGGAAAAAATATGTGAAACTAATATATAAATCAAACATGGTTTTAGTCATTCTTGTTGATGCATTTTCTGCTTCTGTCCACCAAAGGTCAACAGAGTGCTCCTCTCAAGGGTTAAGGAAGAAAGGGACTTCATAGAATCATATAATATTTAGGGTTGGAAAGGAACTTAAGATCATCTAGTTCCAGCCCCCCTGACATGGGCAGGGGCACCTCACATTAAACCATGCCATCCAAGGCTCTGTCCAGCCTGGCCTTGAAGACTGCCAGGGATGGAGCGTTCATAGCCACCCTGGGCAACCCATTCCAGTGCCTCACCACCCTCACAGTAAGAACTTCCTCCTTATATCCAGTCTAAACTTCCCCCTTTTAAGTTTTAACCTGTTACCCGTTGGCCTGTCACTACAGTCTCTAAGGAGTAGTTCATCCCCAGCATCCCTATAGCCCCCCCTTCAGATACTGGGAGGCTGCTATGAGGTCTCCACGCAGCCTTCTCTTCTCCAGGCTGAACGACCCCAACTTTCTCAGCCTATCATCATACAGGAGGTGCTCCAGTTCCCTGATCATCCTCGTTGTCCTCCTCTGGGCTTGTTTCAACAGTTCCATTGTTTTTAAAACTACATTGAATACAAAACATAATGTTTGCTTTTTTTTCTATTAGCACCACGGAGATTTCACAGTCTCGCTTAGTGATTTATTGGAAACTTGGAAATACTTGTTATATGACAAACTGGGATTATCATATGAAAACATGAAAGAACCTGAAAATTATGCTGACATGAAAAAAGCTTATCATGCCTTCTTAGCAAGAAGCAGTATGCTAGATCTAATAGATATATATCAGAAGTGCTGTGGTCTTGGACTTGTATCTGAAGATGAAAACATAGCTCCTGTAAGTATTTTTGTTTATCTTATTTTTTGGCTGGTGTTTTTTGTTTGTTTTTGATCTATTTTGATTCAAGTTATGGATTTATGACACTTCTAAATATACATAGGATCCCTGAATTATTCACAAGTTACTTTGCTCTTCTACTGCAGAAACAGATGAGTTTAAATTATCAACTCCTTTAAGGAGATCTTAAATTCACTCAAGCTATTTTTCTGTTGTCCTGCTGGATAGGTGAGTCTCACAGCTCTTCTATGAGTGTATCTGCTCTTTGCCAGAAATGGAACTGAAACATGAACTGTAGAGATTTGATAAGGCTGGACCAAAGCTTAGTGATTAACACACGTCATGGAATTTTGATTGTATGTTGATAACCAATAAAAATATTTTTAACGGTTATCTTAAAATACCATGCTCTTTAAAAGCAAAAACTTCCTTATAGTACAAGTAGTTTCATGATGTATTTTTCCAGAAAACACTTCAGCCACTCAGTCAGCAGCTCTCTTGCATGTCAGATGTTCTTATGACACTGTATGTGAGGCCATGCTCTAAGCTAGAGAAGTTCTTGTGTGTGTTCCACTTTTATACTGTAAAAGTAGGAAAAAATAATATGATTAATCTTTTTTTTTTCTTCAAAATATATATAAGTAGCAATTAATCTTGAAACACAACCATTCCACATGATTTTATTTGATTTTGTGCTCTCTAGACTTTGGAAAGGCCAAAAGACAATGAATGTTGGATTTAGATTCAGGTATTTCTAGCTTCTAATGCTAGAGAGGAGTTTCTTGTCTGCTTTTACTGTCCACTTGCAGTATTACAGACTTAACAAATTACTGTTTATTTAATCTTCTGAATTTGATGTATGTTTAATTAGATCATCATTTTTATATGAGGGAAGCTATAGCTATCAGTAAATGAATGTTAATTAAACTGAAGTACGCTACGGACATAACATACTACAGAATATGTAATAATATACCATGAATTACTACCTACAGTGTGATTAAAACTGTTCACTTTCTAGCCCTAGTGAGAATGAAAAGATTTCTCCATGTGGTCAAATATTGCAACAGGTTGCTCAGGGAGGATGTAGAATCTCACCTTTGGAGATATGAAAGTCTGGAGTTAGTATTTCACTGAGCAACCTGATAAAACTGATCCTGCTTCAAGCATGGTTTGTGCAAGATGATCTCTATAGGACCCTTTTAACCTAAATTATTGTATGATTCTATGACAAGTATGCTTGTAACCAGCTTGTCTAACTCCTTAAAGGTTCAAAGAACCTATACTCAAACACTGATGTGATCATCAGACACAAAAGGGATTATAAGCAGAACTTCAGTAAAGTCATGGAAACTGATCTTCTTTGTTTTCGGGTTTTGCTTGTTTGTTTGTTTGGTGGTGGTGGTGGTGGTGAGGGGTTTTTTGTTTTTTTTTTTATTGTTACTCCTATTTTCATGGGGAAATTGGAGAACTTTCATGGGTTAATGAGCTCTTCCTGAACAGGAAAAAATATAAGGAAAATAAATGCAAAACATAAGCAGTTGCTTTTAGGGCAAATTTATTGCATAACTTAGAAAATATCTTAAACAGTTATTTTGAATCTTACATCTTTATTAAGTGAATCTTATTTCTCTACTAAAGCAGTTGTACTTTTTAAGACTAAACACAGAAGTACATTCTAAGGGCTGTGTTAACTTCAAAATGATAGCAAATTGGTGGAAACATAGTTTTGCAAGGTTTTAATACTACTTTTACTTTTTAGTTATTTTCATATTTGTTCTAATTTCTTTATTAAAGGTACAACTGTTAGAATTCATTTCTGGCCTAGTGAATGTACAAGAAAACAGTGGTTCTGTTACTTTTACTCCTACCAGTCAACAGACATGGCCATGAGAATGTAAAGGTAAAAATTATTTGTGTCTCTTGTACTGTTCTGTATATATTAAAAAGATTGAAATATAACATAGTTTTCTTTCTGGCATTAACATGTATTCAAATTCTGTATTAATCGAGGATATTGTAGGTGTGTGCATGAGGCTAAGAGTGGAAATCTGTAGTCTGGAAGACAGGGGTTTTTTATGGCAGGCATTTGATGTAATCTACCTTGAAACACAAAGGAATGAGTTCTTCTACAAGTACACCATCACTCAAACATTGTCTTGACTGAGTTAGATAATCATTGTCTTGACTGAGTTAGATAATTTGCCCAATATTACAAGTTGAAGTGGAAGGTAAAGTAAACTTTTTCAATTTCATTTTATTAGTACCTACTCCCTTACATACAGAATAATTCTGAAGAGCAACTGCAGTGGTAACTATAGGAAAGCAAACATTTGTCTGTCCCAGTAGAAGACTTGAGGACTTTCTGGGAATGCCAGATGCTTTGATTTTACCCTTTCAACCCCCAAAACTGCAATCTTTGAATACTGTTACATTGCTTTATTTACAGAAGCTTTAGTCATTTCCAAACATGCTTTCCTTGTGATGACAATTTCAATTCAATAATTAGGTACAACCCAAAATATTGCTGAACAAGAAAACATTTTCTGAACTAGGGTTCTCCCTTAGGTAGCACTTCTGCCATTTACATAAAGGCTTTTTTGCTGCTCCCACTTGTATAGTAAAAATAGTCTTTTCAGACTATCACACACATTTGGTACTTTTAGTGCCTATGATTGTTGTACACATCCCATTGAATAAGAGGAAATTCCACAGTAAATATAGTTTTTTCTCATTATCTTTCCTTTTGTTAATGGCCTTTATTTGGTCTTGTCTTTGCTTCAAAAAAAAACCAAAATTCTTCAGTTCTGGGACTATTGTTCTTACAGGGTCCAGAATAGTGCTGCAATATAAGCAATTACAATCGTTATGTTTTGGTTGTGTGGGTGGACCTGGGTCACAGTTTATGTCCAAATTCAATCAGTGGAATTTCTCTGATTGAAATCCACTGGGAGCCAAGGGAAAAATTACTGAATTTGGTGCAGAGCTGGTAAGTTGTTTAAAATCTTAGTCTGTTGGAAGTTAATGACAAATCCTAATGTGGTTTAATAGTGCTAGTCTTTTGCCTTGGGATAGAGAAGGATTGTATCTGAACAGGTTTCTAAGTAGAAATTGATAGCCAATTTTAATAGCTATAGATTCAACCCTCAAATATTTCGTGAATATTCAAGTACAGTATAAATGATTTTAACATGTTAATCATGCTTGCTTTTCAGTACTTCCAGAATCCCCATACATATCTAATTAACAAATATATATATTTATATATATGTACAAAAGGAATATAACTTAGAGACTAGTTTGTGTGTTGCTTTCTTATGCAGATGACAATCCTGGCAAAGAAGTGTGTTTGCTCATATTTAAGCCTGTTGGTGAATTCTAAGGATGATCTGGCATTGGCTCATATTCTGAATGTTCCTGACAGAGGACTTGATAGAGAAGCTTTCACTAACCTAAAACATGCCTCACAGGAGAAAAAAATGTCAATTTTCCTGGTATGTGTCATGAAACTTGCTGTAGATCAGAAGAAATTGAAAACATCTATGAATATAAATTCTTGCTTTAATCTCATGCAAGACTGATATTGGCAAGGCAAGTCAAATGCCACCATAAACATGATTTCTAGGTTCAAAAGATGCAGCAGAGATTCTATGTGAATAAATTGGGTGGTGCTTGCTTGGTCATAAGATGTAAAGATGCACAGAAGAATAATTGTGTGCATGTGTACCTCAAGCTCTAAAATCTGATATTGTGAAAATGGGCATCAAGACTTCATCCCAAGCAGTGACTGAAATCCTGAAATGTTTCCTGTCTTAAACATAAGGAATGCTTTATTATTGCTTTTAAATTTTTGAAATCTTGGTAAATAGTGTGAAGTGAGATCATGGCTATGCATAACAAAGACAAAGAAAAGATGGCATTAGCCTAGATGTTGCTGCTTACCAACTAGCTATGAAAGCAATTGTGGTGTACTAATGCTCCTCAGGTACATGTCAAAGCTGTACTATCACTCCCCTCCTCAGCTGACAGGGGAAATTAAATAGAATGAAAGGCTTTTGAGTCAAGATAAGGACAGAAAGAGATCATTCAGCAATTAGTTGTGAGTAAAATGGTCTACTTGTGGAAAAGTTGATTTACCAATCAAATCAGAACAGGGTAATAAGAAATAAGCCTCATTCTTAAACCACTATCCTCCTACCCCTCCCTTCTTGCCAGGCTTAACTTCACTCCAGATTTTTCTCTACCTCTTCCCTCCACAGCAGTGCAGGGTCATAGGGAAATAGGGGTTGTGGTCCGTACATCACATGTTGTCACTTCCCCTCCTTGACTTCTCACACTTCCCCTGTTTCAGCATAGAGTCCCTTCCATGGGAAACAGTTCTCCTCAGACTTGAGTTGTATCCTCCCACAGGCTTCAGTTCTTCACAGGCTGCTCCAGTGTAGGTCCCTTCAGTGGGGTGCAGTCCTTCAGGAGCACACTGCTCCAGCGTGGGTCCCCTGTGGAATCACAAATCCTGCTAGCAAACTTGCTGCTCCAGTGTGGGCACCACTCTCCATGGGGCCACAGGTCCTGCCAGGAGCCTGCTCCAGTACAGACTTCCCATGGGGTCACAGCCTCCTTTACCCATCTGCCTGCTCTGGTGTGGGAACCTTCATGGGCTGCAGGTGGATATCTGCTCCATCTGGACCTCCATGGGCTGCAGGAGGACAGTCTGCCTCACTGTGGCTTGCACCACTGCCTGCAGGTAGCTGCTCCAGCACCTGGAGCATCTCTTTCTCTCTTTCACTGACCTTGATGTCTGCAGAGCTGTTTCTCTTACATATTTTCCCTCCCCCTCCAGCTGCCACTGTACAGTTGTTTGGGTTTTTGTTGTTGTTGTTGTTGTGTTTTGTTTTTGTTTGTTTTTTCTTTTTTGTCCTCTTCTCAAATATGTTATTTCATAGGTGCTGCCACTGTCACTGATCAGCTTTGGCCAAGTGGCAGGTCCACCTTGGAGCCAGCTCATATTGGCCCTATCAGACACAGGGAAAGCTTCTACAGCTCCTTACGGAAGTCACAGCTACCAAAAGCTTTCCATGCAAACACAATACAGCAATGAGGTTTACTAATTATTGCGAAGCAGTATTAACATTAACAAAACCAATCCACGTATTACAATGCATTTCAGTTTTAAATTTCTGTAAGTATTTTGGTTATACTAGCACAGCATTTTCTGTGCATATGTTAAACTTGAGACATCTGGAGCCTAAAGTATTTCTGTGTGCAAACTGCTTTTCTTAGAGCAACCTTGTCCAGGTCAAAGTCAGGGTTTTATGACACTAGAACAGAGGGCAAAATTTGAAAGGGCAGTGCAGTTTTTTCACCTTTGACTCAGAATTTGGAGAGGCTAATGCTTTCCAGTCATTGGTAAGTCTTGAAATACTCTTCAAGACACGATTGATATGGTACACTCGTGATCTCAAAGGCACAGAATTGGAAAAAAACCCTCAAGACAGTGGTATACTCTTTCCTCAGTGCTCTTGTATAAGAATATAAAAAGCTACAGAATTAAAGTGCAATGGTTACAGAGGCTTGTGAGGTGCATTTATATTTACATTTATAGTCTTCACAGAGCCCTCTCATAAATAGTTGGAATAAGATGAGTAAGAATTCTTTCTCCAAAGAACCACCATAGGCTCTCGTATTAAAAGGAATCAGATTTTGCATGCACAGTGGCCTCAGTGCACACAACAGCAGACCAACGAAAAATGGTATGGGTATGTAGCAGTCACTGAAGCAGCTGCGTTCTCTGATTTTTGTGGTTGAATAAATATGGAATATTTGTGAAATCCAAGTTCCAAAATTCATTATTTTAGCTCTTAATGCTCTGTTAACATTGCATTAAAAAAAAACAAAAAACAACTATGTCTTTGGACTGGATTTATTACCTCTTCCTCACGGTTGCCAGAGGGGAAACTTCTCTACCGTGTAAAGAAGTCGTCTTTTCTGGCATCTGTGTATTGTAGAAATCTTGCAAAGCCAGAATATTTTCCATTGGGAAGGCAAGGTCCTATGAACTGTACTTGATCCACAGGAAATCTTTAACACAAAGGCAAGACTATTGGCAGGTTTACTTTCTTTGCTAGAGTAATTCCAGTTGTATTCTTTCCAGTCCAAAGAGCTTTATGATTTAGCTGTATAGTCTGAAATTAAAATTTATATGTAGAATTAATATTACTGCATCTGTGTCAAGCGTATTGGATTGTTATCTTTGCTTTCACCTTTCTGGAGAACTGTGAGACTTTTTATGCTGACTGTTGCCTTAAACTTTGAAGGATTATCATCTAAAGCATACTGGTTTTGGGACATTTCTTGTTTTACTGTCTTTCTAGCATATAAAAATATATAGAAAATTTCAGAACTGTGTACCTGTGATAACTCATAATTTTTCAGAAGCTTTGATTATATATTATTTCTATTTGCACCTTTGAAAATAGATGCACTACTGTGGTCACCTTTTGCGTGCATGTGTTAAAATTGTTCTTGGGTCATAGAGAGCTTTCTGAATAGGAGAATAGTTTATGTGGGATCAGCATGAGCATTTCAACAGCAGCAGCAACAACAAAAAATATCTATACCATGTGTTAATAAAGTTTTTCCTAAGCTGTCAAGAAACCAATGTAAATATCAGTTTAACTGGGTCATTTTTGCTTTGGCTTGTGCTTGTTTTTTTTAATACTGCTGCACTCTAAGTATTGATCTTGCAACTATTCATGGTGAGATATACAAAGCTTGCCAATAAGACATGTTCTATTAAATTCAGTTAAAATTCTTCTATCAACCAGCTGTTGTACACTATTTAAAAATCTGTAGAAGAGGCTTACTTCATCACACATACATTTTGCATATATCTACAGTTTCACATTTCTGAATATTTTTCCTAATAGATGGCAACATCTTTTATCCGAACTGTAGAAATTGGAGGAAGAGGCTATGCATCTTCGTTGTTTGATCCTTTAGAAGTCCATGTAAAGGGACTTTCTAACTTCATTAATTTTATTGATAAACTACAAGAAATTCTTGGTGAAATCTTAAATCCAAGGTAATAGAATTTTCTGTTATATTTTTGTCTTGTCAAGCACCCTTTTTTCTTGTGCACGTGTCTTGAGGAATGAAAGAAAATCTAATTGTTTACTTATTTAATAATTTAGAATAAATGTTTACAACTAGAACCTTAATAGCAAATAGAAATATTTGAAAAACAATTGTTAAGCTTATATATTTTGGAGGTTATTTGTATTACAATTTTATCAAATCAGTGTACATATGGCTATTTGGTTAGTTGCATAGTTGTTGATGAACTTCCAATGATTTCAATCTAGTGGCTCTGGTAAGTACATAGACTGACATGTGCTTTATTTCTTGCTAGTTACCGACTTCCTTTTTGTCATTTCATTGTATATACTGTTATATGAAGGAGTCTTTATTGCTGCTGACAAATGACTCCATTAGTTATTTATATTTAGCCATTTTTTTTTTTTAGTTACGTAAATGAAGTGCAACAATTATTTGTTAGGAAGGTTTTCGTGAAGTCACTGTTTTTAAGACCTGAAGTTAATCTTTTGGGCAGGCTTATAGCTGTGAGATTAATTAGAGAGAAGTGTAATTGTAGCACAGGAATTTGAATTGGTAAGTGCTGGCATTAGTACTTACTAGAGGGAAGAGCAATTTTCTTAAGTAATTTTTTTCATTTATCATCAGTAATTTTTCTATACAAAACTTTAGCAAATAAACTGCTCTTGATACTTCATGATCTTAGTTTGAATCGAGTCTAATCCACACAGTTGAAAACAAACTGCTATAAGTGAGCCATAAACATTTTAATTACTGTTCAGATCGTATTGAAGCTGGAAGTGGGAAGTGTTTCTGAAGCTGTTTTGCAGGTTTTGTTTTATTTTTTGGTTCTACTTCTTTGTTCTTTTATTTCAACATCCTGGATTCCAGAGATGCGCTGTCTGTGCTGTTGATTAAAGGAAAGTTTTGACTCGGCATCTAATGTATGCTTTTTTTTCGTAATTTAAATCTTACCTAGCACTGTACCTTGATAAAAATGAGAAATAAAATAACATTTATTTGCATTAACTTTTTAGAGTGGAAAGACTGCTTTTCCAGGTATATACAGGTCAGGAAATTGTAAATAAACATAATGTTACATCTTCTGCTTAAGGCATGTGAGACAGTGGGATAGTTGCTGGAAATTCAGTTTATAATTGGGGTAGTTCTCTGGAGCTTGGAAATTGTTTTCAGTATTCAGGTATGTATTCTGCTGCTTTCTCTGCTGTGCCTCCTGTCCCATTTATTCTGGGATATAAATGTTGTTAATGTGAGATTCTAGCATGTTTATTAGGTTGTATACATACGTGTAGGTGGTGTCAGTTGTATCACTGACCAAGAACAGAAGCTAGCTGTATTGTGGCATTTCTAGTATCTCTTGTACTCCATATGGGCTTTATAACCTCTCAATGTAGAGTACTAGTATTGTTTTTACATATGTATCTATATAGTAGCTCAGTGCTTACAGAAATATACCAGTTAGTTAGCTATCTTTGGAAGAATCTTCATGAGTATGCTGAAGTTCACAAATGTTATAGGACTAGTATACAGCTTAGAAACTGTAAGGGTCACAACCCTGATTAACATGAAAGATATTAGCGTTCTTTAGGGTTGGGAAAGCTATAAGAACGAGGACTGTCTATATGCCCTGCCTGTGATATGACAGTTACTATGAATTCCAGAAAATACAGTTCTACATTAGAAGGAGTTCTAAACTAGTTCTGCCACTACTGCAATCTGAAGTTTCAGTTGCTTAGTCTTTAGAAACCTGCTGAGAAATCTAAGAGCAAACTGCACAACCAGTCTGTGGTATTGCCGTTTCTCTGATGTAGAGATTAGCTGAACTGTAAAACCCAGGTCTCAGTATTTGCTATGCCACAAATGGCCAGTATTCTTGGGTTTTTACTTAATGATCAGAAGTCTTTTTTATTTAAGTTTCATTTTGTTACAGTGGGTATCTTATAAAAAATTCAGATAAGAATGTGATCAGTAGATGAGATGAGGGATGGGAAGGTTGTCAGTGGGAAGTCAATTGAACTGTCATGATTTGGTTTAAATATGGCACAGCGTAAGCAGATGTGGTAACAGGAGAAATGGAAAGATATGATGAACTTTGGTTTCAGTGTACTTACCAAGCAGAATAAACATTCTAATGAATCTCTGAAGTTTTGAAATAGTGCAGCTTTTCCTCTCCTCATTCTCTAAATGTCTAAGATTAGTTAAGAATCGGTAGCATGAACATTCCTTAAAGTTCGTGGTCTGTGAAACTTGTAACCCTAAAGCTATTTACACATTCTGTACGAGTAAGACTTGGACAATGTTTATGCAGTAAATAGCTTGAATATTCTACTTTTTGTGTCTTGTTTCTTTGACAAGAAACTTATCAATGTTGTATTTGTCAGTGAAGTGAATGATTATTATATACCTAAGGGTCTAGAAACTGTTTTCTGTTGGTATAAATGAAAAAGTGTAGCACTAATCAATCATCCTGGAAATCCTTCAATTTTAGGACAAACTATAAAACTTCCTGCATCTGGAAAAATCTTGCTTATTTCTAAAATTATTTTTTTTCAAGTACGTAAAAGATGTGTGACTTAAAACTGAATGTTGGAAAAGCAGTTTGCTTACTGCCTGCTGCACTTGTTAGTCCATATAGATGTGTTTGTGTGTATACATATGTATACTTTAAAAGTCCTCACTGATTTTGTATAGAAGAAACGGTAGATGTGTAGTAAATTCAGTTGGGCACTGACTTCGCTGTAATCACTGACCACTAGGTGACACTATTGCACAGCTCACATTAGTAGCTGTTTAAAGTTAACTATTATTTCATTCAACACATTTGAGCATCCATGATGCTTTGGAGTGGGTCTACATTTCAGGTCAGTGAGTAGTTTTCTACAGTCAGTTGTTGAAATTATACAGCTTGACTTGATTGTGTACTTGCATTAGTGCACTGAACTTTACCTTGACAGGGAAAATGCTATTTCTTAGGTGTTGCTGTGATTGCATCTGGAGGTGCAATAGTATTTTGGGAGAGAAAGCATATGCAACTTTATCTGGTTTTGTGCCAGATGTTTGAGTTAATTGAATAGTGTCCATGCAGCCCTGGAGTTGTGTTCTAGAGTTGCTGGAAAGTTGTGCAAACATGTGCAAAACATTGCCTTATATGGCTCCTTAAACATAGTTTCCTGGGTTCAGATACATCAGTTACTTTTATCCTTCCAAGTAGCTGGTGGAGTGCTGTGTTTTGACTTTAGTCTAAGAACAGTGCAGATAACGTACCAATGTTTTTAGTTGCAGCTAAGCAATGCTTACCCCAGTCAAGGACTTTTCAGTCTCATCCCCTGCCAGTGAGGAGGGGCACAGGAAGCCTGGAGGAAGCAGAGACAGGACTAGCCAAAGGGGTATTCCATACCACAGCATGTCATGTCCAGGATATAAACTCGGGGGTGTCACCTGGAAGGGACAAATTGCTGCTCGGGTCAGACTGGGTATCAGTTGGTGGGTGGTGAGCAATTGTGCGTCACTGCTGGTTATTGTTTTTGGTTTTGGGTGGGTTTTTTTTCCCCTTTTTAGTTTTATATTCTCTCCCCTTGTTATTTCCCTTATTATTAGTAGTAGTAGTTTTATATTATATTCCAGTTATTGGACTGTTATCTCTACCTGTGGAATTTGCATACTTTAGATTCTTTTCCCTATCCTGCCTGGAGGGAGGAAATAAGGGGTTGGGGCTGGGGGAATGTGAGTGAATGGCTGCGTGATTCTGAGTTATCGGCTGGGCTTAAACCACGATGCTTAGGAGCGCAGAGTAATTCAGGTTGGAAGGAACATAAGGATGTTTTTGGTCCAATATCCTGCTGAGAGCAGGCCCAGTTGCTGGGTCAGCTGAGGTTAATCAGGGCTTTATCCAGTCAAGCTTTGTGCAGTCTTCATCTTTGAGGTTTTCAGTCTCCCTCTTGGCAACCTGTTACACTGCTTGAGTGTCCTCATGATTAAAAGTTTTGGTGACCACGTCCATTGCTTTTGTCCCCTACCCTCTTCCCACATATTGAGTGGGACCTCTCTTGTTTCAGTTTATGCCAGTTGTCTCTTTTCCTTTCATTAACTGCTAATGTGAGAAGCCTGGCTCCATCTTCTTGGTTACCTTTTCATAGATATTAGAAAGCTGTAAGTAGATCCCTCTGAAGTCTTCTCATCTCCAGGCTGAACAAGCTGTTCCCTTAGCTGTTTCTCACAGGGCATGACTCCCAGACCATCTTGGCAGCCTCTGCTGAGCTTGTTCCACTTTATCAGCGTCTTTTCTGGTCTGGGGGGCCCAAAACTGGATGAAGTATTTTAAGTTTGGTCCAAGAAGTGCTGATTAGAGAGGGATAATCACATTCCTCAGACTACTGGCTACGCTACTGCTGAAACGGCCAAGGATACTGTTGGCTGCCTTTATTGCCAAGGCACGCTCCTGGCTCATGGTTAGGTTGCTGAACATGCACCAGGACTCCCAGGTTCTTTTACATGGAGCTGGTCCCCAGCCTGTATCACTGCAGGGGGCTATCCTTTTCCAAGTCTTCATGTACCCTGCTGAATTTCATAGGGTTCCTGTCAGCCGATTACTCCTATCTCTTTAGGTAACTGTATGACAGCTCTGCCCTCAAGTATATTGACTGTTCCATCCAATTTGGTGTCATCTGCAAACTTGATGAGCATGTATTTTTATCACCACATCACTGCCAAAGATATTTAAAGAAAAAAAATCAGGTTTTAGGCTAGGTCCTGGTGGTACTCCCTTTGTTACTGGCCTCCAGATACAGTATAACATATTTATTATCTTCTGAGCTTGATCATCCAACCTGTTTCTACTCAGCTGTCCGTCCATCCATCCAGACTGTAATATCTAAACTTATACGTTGACAGTATTATCTGGCAGTGTTGAAAGCCTTGCTACAATCAAGGTAAATTTTTCCCTGGTCTGCAAAACCAGACTTTTTTTTT